AGACTGACAACGCAACCGGAGCGGGAACCGAGAGGTTCAAAGAAGGAGTGGTGAGAAGGGTAGAAAGACTGGACAGGTCGACAAGTGAAAGGAAAAAGAAGAGGAGGGTTATTTGTTATGAACCGATGCCCAAGCCCAAGAAAAGTGATGACTTCAAGAAATTTTGTGAAGGTCGTAATTTCGCCGACACAACGGCTAGAGACGACGCCGTCACCTGCCTTTGACCTTCTTCTTTCTGATCACCTAGAAATTTTCCGGTTAACAATGACTAACGCGATAATAATGATACACCTTTGTTAATAACTTCATTGCTTCCACTCACCATTCCAGCAATACTAACCCACAAGCGCGCTCTCTTCCTCCAAATCGTCAAGATCGTGTACTACCTCGAAGCCTCCTCGCTATGCATTCACTCGCTCTTCCTTCTTGGTTCTTCTTCCGTCGAAGTCCTGGCTGCTACCTTCACCTCGGTCTACTCGACCACTCGTTCGCGACTCGACCACTGGACACTGGCCACCTACTTCGCTGCCGCTCAGAAGTTCTCCATGTTCTCCCCGTCGCTCGCTACTATGTTCTTTTTCTTGGTTTGCTGTTTCTTGCTCTACCTACAATGGCACTCCAGACTGGTGGACCTGGATAAACCCCACGACCTCACCGCAACTGACCACCACGACAATTCCAAGACTACTCGTACCTCTACTCCCTCTGACGCCGTCCTGACCGTCATGAACAACAATCTAACGTCCATCACCTCTGCCCTCAGGTCTTCTGACTACTCCCTGCGTGACCGCCGTGTCCAAGACCCTTATGCAATTTGAGACCCTCGTGAAACCTATACTGCTTGAGTTCAACCCTGTCGCTATCAAAAGCGTAACTGCGCTACCTCGGGCCGATTTTACTGCTGCCCCTATGCCGAACGAGACCAAGGCTACTGGTGTGTTGCACGAGACCCCTCTTGTTTGCCCTGTTGCCCCCGCCGTCACTCCCACAAACTATGTGCTACTAATAGCATTGCCCCTGAGTCTAGACCCTTTGACATCCGCGATT